ACGCTGTAACGACCCGTGCCCAGACCTGTGCCGCCGAGACCGGCCCACCTGCTGCTGAGACCCAGGTAAGACTCTCTACCCCGACCTGTACCTTAGACCAGGCCCCTTTAGGCTGGGATACCCCAGAGATGTACGGGAAGGAAACCCGGGAAGACCCGACTTTAGAGAAGTATAGGGCCAGGGCAGATTCTGGGGGAGAGGGAGTTGATGGGGAGCGTTATGAGTGGGTGGGGGATAGGCTGTACAGGATTCCTAAACCGTCCCAGAGACTGAATACCCCTCCGCAGAATCGGCAGCTGGTGGTGCCTGCGAAATACGGTCAAGAGATTCTGCAGATTGGGCATGATGTGCCATTAGCGGGCCATCTAGGCTCCCGTCGCACAGCTCATAGGATCACCCAAAACTTCTTCTGGCCTAATTTTAACCGAGATGTGCGGGTTTATTGTAGCACGTGTGACACATGTGGGGATCACCCAAAGGCTAGGCTCATATCGATGCCTATCGTTGGGAAATCCCTTTTCCCGCATAGTTGTTGACATTGTGGGTCCACTGGCCAGGGCTAGCCCATCCAGTAAGAAGTATATTCTCACCGTGGTGGACTATGCCACACGTTATCCAGAGGCAATAGCGCTGTCTAATATAGAGGCAGAGACAGTTGCTGATGCCTTGGTTAAAATTTTTACTAGGGTCGGGTTCCCTCAGGAGATCCTCTCCGACCAGGGAACCCAGTTTACCGCTGTGCTTACCCAGCAGCTGTGGAAGGTGTGCGGCATTAAACCACTGCTCAGTACACCTTATCACCCACAGACTAACGGTCTCTGCGAGCGATTTAATGGTACCCTCAAACAGATGTTGAGGACCTTTACTGACACTTGCAGAGACTGGGAGCAATTCTTTCCTCATCTGCTATTTGCATACAGAGACAGAGCAAGAGGGAACCCCCATCGTGCCATACGTTCTGGAACTCCGGGACCGCATGGAGAAACTATCCCTGATGGTAAGGGAGAATCTCCAGGCGGCCCAGGGGAGACAGAAGAGGTGGTACGATCAGGGTGCCCGACAGCGGGTCTTTCAGGTTGGGCAAAAAGTTCTAGTGCTCAAGCCTGTGAAGACGAACAAGATACAAGCATCTTGGCAGGGCCCGTATAAAGTGTTAGCTCAGGTATGTGATACTACCTATCGGATAGCCAGCTGTGCAGATGAAAGGATTCAGCGATCCTTTCATGTGAACATGCTGAAGGAGTATCAGGAGAGACCGGGGGATGTTGTGCCACTATGTGCCCCGGCTGCCGACGACCCCAAGAATTTACCCTTGCTCGACTTATTAGAGAAGGATCCCCAGACTGACCTCACTAGTCTTGTACAGCTAGGGGACCGGTTAAGCCCCACAGAGAAGGTACAGGCAAGACAGCTTCTGTGGGAGAAGCAGGCAACGTTCTCCCAAGAACCCGGCTACACTACCCTAGCTGTACACAAGGTCGAGACACCTGGACAGAATCCCCTATGACAGTCCCCCTATCGTATCCCTGAAGCAGTCCGGGAAGGAATGCGGAAGGAGATACAGGAGATGACCAGGCTGGGCGTCATCGAGCACTTTACCCCCAATGTGGAGCTTGGTCTCGTTATTGGTTTTTTTTTATTACTGGCGACTAGAGACTGCTGGATGGGATTATTAGCTGTTACGGTACCCTCGGCATGAAGTGTACAAACCGCCGTTTAGTGAATGCTCCCCTCTCGCAATAACATAGGCTGCATGCGTGTGGCGAAACCAACCTCGCCACTGTACACTGGAGAAGCCTGGTTGCTCGCATGCTGCCTTTGGACTATGGCCCCATGTTAAAAGACATCTTTTTTCCCTGCAGAAAAGACTTATTCGTGCTTTTCTGCCGGGTGTTCGGTAGTTTTGTTTAAGTGTGTTGTGCCCCACATAGGAATCCCATGTGTCCCAGTCTCCCATTTGGTCCCCTAGGTGAGTGTCCACCAGGTGGGAGACCTGCATAAGAGCCGGGCAGTTAGCCCCAGTAAATCAGTTCCTACTTAACCCTCAAAGTGAAGTGTCATCTCATTATTGGGGGGGGATTTACTGTATGCTGTTAGAGACTGATTGCCAGGAGTGTAAGCCGCTTGGGGGCTTTTCCTGTTCGTCTGCTAGCAGCTATTCGTGTGTCTCCAGTTCGGAAGTTTGGAGTGCTACTTGATATGCAGTTCGGGAGTTTCGAGTATTCCCTTGGTTGCAGTTCGGGAGTTTCGGGTATTCCCTTGGTTGCAGTTGGGGAGTTTCGGGTATTCCCTTGGTTGCAGTTCGGGAGTTTCGGGTATTCCCTTGGTTGCAGTTGGGGAGTTTCGGGTATTCCCTTGGTTGCAGTTGGGGAGTTTCGAGTATTCCCTTGGTTGCAGTTGGGGAGTTTCGGGTATTCCCTTGGTTGCAGTTTGGGAGTTTCGAGTATTCCCTTGGTTGCAGTTCGGGAGTTTCGTGTATTCCCTTGGTTGCAGTTCGGGAGATTGGTGAAATCGTGGGTTTGCAGTTCGGGAGTTTCGAGTATTCCCTTGGTATGCAGTCAGGGAGTTGGTGAATTAGTGGGTTTGCAGTTCGGGAGTTTCGAGTATTCCCTTGGTTGCAGTTGGGGAGTTTCACGTATTCCCTTGGTTGCAGTTCGGGAGTTTCGAGTATTCCCTTGGTTGCAGTTCGGGAGTTTCAAGTATTCCCTTGGTTGCAGTTCGGGAGATTGGTGAATTCATGGGTTTGCAGTTCGGGAGTTTCGAGTATTCCCTTGGTTGCAGTTCGGGAGTTGGTGAATTCGTGGGTTGCAGTTCGGGAGTTGGTGAATTCGTGGGTTTGCAGTCAGGTAGTTGGTGAGTTCGTGGGTTTGCAGTCAGGTAGTTGGTGAATTCGTGGGTCTGCAGTTCGGTAGTTGGTGAGTTCGTGGGTTTGCAGTTCGGTAGTTGGTGAGTTCGTGGGTTTGCAGTCAGGTAGTTGGTGAGTTCGTGGGTTTGCAGTCAGGTAGTTGGTGAGTTCGTGGGTTTGCAGTCAGGTAGTTGGTGAATTTGTGGTTTTGCAGTCAGGTAGTTGGTGAATTTGTGGGTTTGCAGTCAGGTAGTTGGTGAATTCGTGGGTTTGCAGTCAGGTAGTTGGTGAATTCATGTAGATTGCAGTTCAGGAGTTGGTGAGTTTGTGGGTTTGCAGTTCGGTAGTTGGTGAGTTCATGGGTTTGCAGTCAGGTAGTTGGTGAATTCGTGGGTTGCAGTTCGGGAGTTGGTGAATTTGTGGGTTTGCAGTCAGGTAGTTGGTGAATTCGTGGGTTTGCAGTCAGGTAGTTGGTGAATTCATGTATTTTGCAGTTCGGGAGTTGGTGAGTTCGTGGGTTTGCAGTTCGGTAGTTGGTGAGTTCATGGGTTTGCAGTCAGGTAGTTGGTGAGTTCGTGGGTTGCAGTTCGGGAGTTGGTTTGCAGTTCGGGAGTTTCGAGTATTCCCTTGGTTTGCAGTTCGGTAGTTGGTGAATTCGTGGGTTGCAGTTTGGGAGTTGGTGAATTCGTGGGTTTGCAGTCAGGTAGTTGGTGAATTCGTGGGTTTGCAGTCAGGTAGTTGGTGAATTTGTGGGTTTGCAGTCAGGTAGTTGGTGAGTTCGTGGGTTTGCAGTTCGGGAGTTGGTTTGCGGTCAGGTAGTTGGTGAATTCGTGGGTTTGCAGTCAGGTAGTTGGTGAATTCGTGGATTTGAAGTTCGGGAGTTGGTTTGCAGTTAGGGAGTTGGTTTGCAGT